AACAAATTCTGTTTGCATCATTTCCAGCAGCTGTTCTATATTTTTTCCCACACAAAAAAATGTATCATCTGCAAATAAAACACATTTCAACAGCCCTGACACATTAATCAAATCATTCACATATAAAAGAAACAACTTTGGTCCAAGTACAGAACCCTGAGGAACACCGCATGTGATGTTACAGAGTTCTGATTTTACATCATTTATTTGTACAAACTGTTTCCTATTATCCAGATAACTGGATACCCACTGTAATGCTGGTCCTCTTATACCATTTTTATTTAGCTTTTCAAGGAGAATAGAGTGATCAATGGTGTCAAACGCTTTAAGTCCACATAAATACTAACACAATACTGTTTTTGATCAACAGCACTTGTTATTTGYTCTATCAAATCCATTAGAGCCATTGATGTAGATCTACCAGCTCTAAACCCATACTGACTGTTACTCAAAATATTATGCTTATCAATAAATTGATCAAATCTGATCACAAATAACTTTTCTAAAATTTTTGAAAATTGTGGCAACAAGGATATTGGCCTATAATTTGTGAACATATGTTTCACACCACTCTTATAAAGAGGGATTACCTTTGCTATTTTCATGTTATTTGGAAACACTCCAGTTGAAAATGATAAATTACATATATATGTAAATGGCTCAATAACTTATTATTTCCTTCACAAGCATCATATCCATGTCCTTCCAGTCCTTTGATCTTTTGTCAGAGAAGTTCTTTACAATACTCAGAATTTCGTCTTTATCAATTTCACTTAAAAATATACTATTGGCACAACCAATGACTGTATGACCCAGATTACTATTTACTCTTGGTATATTAACTGATAGGCTAGGGCCAACATTTACATAAAATTGATTAAATTTATTTAYGATTACGTTTTTATCATGAATTTCCTTGTCATCCTCTACAAAGTATTGTGARATATCTGGTCTTGTTTTATGTCTCTTCAAAACACTATTCATTACTCGCCATGTTGCCTTCATATCACTCTTACTTTTGTCCAATAAGTTACTATAATATTCTTTCTTATGTTTTCTTATGATCCATACTAATTTGTTTTTATATTTTTTGTATTTCTCTTCCATTTCTTTTGTTCTCAGTTTTAAAAAGCTTGAGTAAAAGTAGTTCTTTTTTTTACAAGCATTTCTTAATCYTTTGGTCATCCATGGTTTGTCAACAACTTTTCTGTTTGTAACGTTCTTTTGCACACAGTTCTTTTCATACAGAGCTCCCAAAATGTCCATAAATACATCATAGGCTGTGTTTGCATCATCCACATAGACATCATTCCAGTTTTGTTTTTGTAAATCATGTTTTAGTTTGTCTAAAGCTTTTTTTGATGTATTAATCATTTTCCTTTCAAATTTAGTTTTTACATCATTGCACAGACACTTTCTGCAAATAACAAAAACTGGCAAGTGATCACTTATATCTGTCATAAGGATGCCACTTATCACTTCGTCATTTCTTATGTTAGAAAAAATGTTATCAATRATAGTTGCACTATGAGTTGTGATTCGTGTTGGTCTGGATATTAATGGGTAGAGACCCAAACTGTACATTGAGTCCATGAACATATTAGTATTATTTGAGTCAGATTGATTTCCCAAGTCAATATTAAAATCTCCACACAAAAAGACAGTTTTAATTGCAGCTCATTTCGAAGAGCTCCATGATTTTTTGATTAAATAATTCTGTATTAGAACCTGGTGAACGATATACACAACTAATTATAATATTTTTGGAGTTGTTATTTAATATTTCAACTGTAAWTATTTCCATAACATTATCAATAGCTGTAGACATTTTATTATTTATTTTGCACTTTATTTCATTATTGATAAATAAACCAACTCCTCCACCTCTTTTATTACTTCTGTTAATATAATACATTTCATACCCATCAATTCGGAAATTATTTGCATTTTCGTCATAATAATCACAACAGTATATGCAAATGAAAACCAGGCAACATAAAGAGTAGATAAGTTTAGTTGTCTTTAATATCTGGAAACCAAAATGTGTCTTATTCACTGACAAATTACACTTTAGTCAGTTTTTCAAAATGTCACAGAAGACTGGACCCATGTAAACAAAAGAAAAAATAAGCATCATTTGCCCCATTAAGTCAACCTCCTTCTTTCTGTCCTCTCTCATGAGTTGCGTTGTTTACATTTTAATTTAAAAGTGGGTTAAATGGTTCTGGTCGGATTTTGCTTTCGAAGTCGTCCTTCGCATCCGGAACCAAATGTTTTCGGCGCGTGTTGCAGTCGGACTTTATTGGAAGACGAACTCACAACATGGAAAGTAACGTGAACACCGTCAGAAAGAGTAAAGAGGAGAAGAAAGTGTTAAGAAAACAGCTTAAAGCCAGTCACACTTTATTAAAGCATGAAGGCGTCTGCACAGCACTGCGGCCCACCAAGGTAAGCCGGAAACAGGGTTAAAATAGGACATAATTATGACCGGAAGTTGGCCAAAATAAACAGACTGTGTCCGAACAATAAACCCATTTTTTAGTTTTAGCACAATATATCATACCGAGAGAAGTTATAAACTGAAATAATAGCAGTATAATTTATTAGGTAACATTTTATAGGGAAAACAGTTTGAGAAAAAATTTAGATGGGGAAAGTTCACGGCACTCTTGCATAAATGTGGGACTGTATCAGGAAAATAGTGTGTGAAACTAAAAACAAACAAACAAACAAACAAAAAAAGAAAAGCATAGAAGTATGAATGAATCTGCCAAGTTTGCAGTGTGTGTAGTGTTAATATTCAATAAAACGTGTCTATTGTTTTATTCTAGGGTTCCTGGATCTGTTGTTTTTATTTTTGTTTTGTTCCCTAAAACTCTTTGTCCCATCTGCAGTATCTGGTGGTGGCTAATGGTGGACTGGGGAACGGTGTCAGTCGTGAGGCCCTCTCTGCAGCTTTGAAAGAGAAGGGAGAGCTGGAGAGCCTGGTTATGCCTCCACACAAGCCCTATGCTTTTGTCACATACAGGTAGAAATAAAGATACTACTTTGCCAGCAAACTATGACTTAGTTTACTCTCAAACAAAGTTGAAATAAAATAAAGATTGGCAAAAAAAAAAAATCAGTTTGGATCATATCGTTTAGACGATTTATGCATCTAAATTATGTAAAATTACCCATTTGTAATATAAAAACCTGTAATGTAAAAATTCTTTTGGAGTTTTTAATCATCATCCTCTTTCCAGGTCTGAAGATGATGCTCGGAAAGCTCACGGCCTCCTGAACGGACAGAAGTTGCAATGTGGGGAAAACAGTGTCACACTCTACCTCAGTTATGTTGACTCATACTCGTACTCAGGTACTCTCACACATCTATAAATTATTTTAGGGTTGCTGCACAATCATCCTTCCTCTGAAAGTTACCTTTAATTTGCTTGATGCATATGTTTGTTAACAGTAAAGCATCAGGAGGACGCATCACTCTCCTTGCCAGAAGGATTAGTGTTGGTGGAGGATTTTGTGTCTCCGGAGGAGGAGACTCAGCTGCTCGCCGCCATCGACTGGACGTCCACCGATGAAGATGTCACAGGTGAARTTTATCACGGTTTTTTTTTGGGTCTATTGTAATACGGGTGATCTTGCCTGGTTTATTCTGAATAACTATTTTTCATTAGCTCCTGTAAAAATGATTTTAACTTTAGTCTCTGCTTGTATAATCTTTGTAGCTCAAAAAGCACTGAAGCACAGAAGAGTCAAACATTACGGGTTTGAGTTTCGCTACGACAACAACAACGTGGACAAAGACAAACCGTTACCTGCAGGCAAGCTTCGTTATTTTTTACCATCAGATCACTTCCTGTAATCTGAGGATTCTCAGATCTAAAGCTCACTCATATCGTACATATTAAGACTTTATTTGATGATTAAGATCACGAATTTCTGGAGTTCTGTGTTGTTTGCTGAATCTTTGACTGAATCTCTTTTACAAATTTGTTGCTAAGGTTAGCAAACCACAGTTTTTTGTTATAGTAAAAGTTAACTGTGCTGTGTGTTTGTATTCAGGTCTTCCTGAGGAGTGTTTGCCTGTGTTGGAGCGATGTTTGAGGGACAGACACATTAACGTCATGCCGGATCAGCTGACTGTTAACCAGTATGAGTTGGGTCAGGGTGAGCTCCTGTCTGACTTTATCCCACACGAGAGTCAACACGTAATACACTGTTAATACACATAAATAATACAATTTAAATTAATAAATAGGTACAATTAATTTATTTTATATTTTTAACAAGTGTGATCGATGACTGGTGACCAAACTTGGGCTGTGTTTGAATGTTCTCTCATTCACTCACCTCACTATACACCGGGGGTAAGCAATGGGTGATTACCAAGCTTCTGCAAAACCTGAAGAGGTATATTCAGCTTATTTTAGTGTACGCGTTTTATAAAATGGTGGTAAGCAGAAGTGTCACATTGGAAGCAAAAAGATCAAATTAGAGTTGTTTTTTTTAGTTTTCAGAGTTTATTTTGTTTAATTAAAGAAGTAGAGGTTTTACTTTGTTCTGCCACAAGGTGGCAGCAGAACTACTAATAAGACAAATACAAACTTGCCTTTAAATAAGTAACCCCATCATTTCAAATATCACTAAATGTGCGAAGGATTTTAATGTTAACACATAATTTTTAGATTATAACTGACCTGATTTACCTCATGTTCAAGGATTTTGATCCTGTGTCTGTGTTGAAAATGTTCTCAGGTATCCCCCCTCATGTTGACACTCACTCTGCCTTTGAGGACACCATCCTGTCCTTGAGTCTGGGGTCAAAGGTAAGAAAAAAAAAAGAATCAGTGTAAAAATCAATAACTAGAATAAACACGTGTGCATTGGAAGAGTTTTCTGTAGGTTGAAACACTGGCGTCAGCTTTTGTCTAAGATGTTTATAAAAACAATGTGAGTTTTTGTAGTCTGGTGAAATGAATTAAGCAGCACCTCAATGACCTGTGATTCATCTGCCTCCGTGTGCAGTTGTTAATGTGTGTGTGAGTGTGTGTTTGGATCTCATGTCCTTGTGATTTTACTGAGAACATTTTGTAACTTATTCTCTTCTGACACACTGTCATACTTCCTTGCTCACTGTGGCRTCTTGTTTAATCCCGGATTCGGCTCGCAGCTCGCAAATGTTGGAAACTTTGTAAACAGTAACCGACCACAGGAGATGTATCACATTTTCTTTTCCTGTTGGCATCAAACGTTTTCATGTCCTTGACTAGCTCAGGTGTTGTACGCTGGGGTGGTGGTGTTAGGTTTAGCCTCCCTGAGCTGACTGCGCCACGGGAACCTCCATCTGTCCCCTGCTAGTGTGAGGAGTCGGGTCGGGTCTGTTAGCAATCAGCTGTCATCTGTCGCAGCATCTGTAACACAGGGAGACACGACCTGCTTTTGTGTGTGTGTGTGTGTGTGTGTGTGTGTGTGTGTGTGTGTGTGTGTGTGTGTGTGTGTGTGTGTGTGTGTGTG